ATACATTGAAATATATTAACAGAAAATCAAGTTGCTCAACCCCAAACTCCATCGTTTTTGTGCAAGAACAAACCCTAATTTCCGGCGAATCCGCCATCGACCAATGGTGGCAAAATAAGGACTCTGTTAAAACTTGAATCTTGTATTGAAGATGACGGAAGTTGAGAACCTCGAGTTTATCGCTTTCCCAATTGGTTTTGGATAATGTTGAAGTTCCTGCCATTGGGATAATCATACCACAAATCAACAATCTGAAGATTCCCTTTGGTGTTATTCATGAAGAGAATCGAGTGGAATTGTGTTTGGCCATGGTGTAGGAATTGGGTCGCTGGATTTTGAAGAATTGATTAAAGTGAAACAAAGAGAAGATGCTGTTAGAAGGAGGAGGAGAGCGAGAATTTTAATGGGACGGGGGAAGAGAATGACATGTATCAAAGTAGAGAGAGAAAGAAAATAGTGTAACTGAATAGCATATTTAGTGGCTTAGGGGTATGAGGTAACCAAAATTAGATATTTTGCTATAAACATTAAAAGGTATCTATAGAATATAATTTTTTAAATGGTATTTATTTAAAATAAATAAGGTGTTAACCTTTGCTATAGGAGGTAAAAATTCCAAAAAGTTACGCTACCCATCACCCCCACCCGCTGCCTTCCACCCCGTACCGCTCCTCCATCAAGACCTCCATCACCTTTCATATTGAAGGCGATAAATGAGAACTATAGTGGGTATGTCAATTAGAGCTTTTTTTTCCCTTTCTATTCTTTGACTTGCAATGTTTTAGGAAATGCAAATTCCAATGAGTCACAACTACAATATTGTAAAATTAGAAATTCGGAAATAAAGAATTTGTGGATTGGTTCTGGTGGATGAGTTCGCGAAGAATGGCAATTAAATCATTCTTGAGCAAATGCATGATTTTACCATTAAGTGCTTGCTCCGACGAAGGTCACGAAGACGGCGATGATAGCTATCAGAATGTATGAAAATTTTGGATCTCGTTGGATGGAAAAAACTGTGGTTTGAAGGCAAAGGTTGGGATCTCCCGGCTAGCACATTCTTTATGCAACCATTTCCTTAACCCCAAAAAATTGAATCCTAATAGTTTCACAAGCAACAGTCGAGAGAGGAAGCTGAAGCAAATAAATTTGGAGGCGAATTTTCCCGGAGGTTTTGAAAATACCAGAATATTGTGAAGGTGAAAAATAGCGTGAAGGAGAAAGAGAATTTAGTAGTAAAGAAGAAGATGATGATGTGGATACATGTATCTGACCATGTGAGACTCACAAATATTAGGAGGGTTTAAATAATTCAATTTGATCGAGTACAAGTGTTCCAACTAAACTTCCTCAAGTACAGGGATCGAGATCGGGATCGGGATGACGGACCAAGTACATGGATCTACTAACCTATTCTGATCCCGGTCATCTCAGTGTAAGACCAACTTGTCATAAAGCAATCAACGGTGTTCATTTTGAGATGGAGAAAAAAAATGTTCAATATCTCAAGAAATGAAGGCCTGAAAGCGATGTGATTTAAGATTGACATCTGGGTATTGTAGAAAAGGAGATTGATTTATTTCATGACAAAGATACCCTTATAAAAAAATTTATATACCAAATTAACCCTGCCTAAAGTAAAAAAAACGTTATTCTCGTCTCCTTGTTTTCTTCTACGGATCTCTCATCACTGTCACTCAAAAAGTCGGAAGAATCAAACTGCAGTTTCCTCTCAGGGTATGAGTTCTAAAATATACTTAGGGGTCGTTTGGTTGGTTGTATAAGAAGAGTGATGAATAAGGTGTATTAGTAATGCATAGGTTAGTAATGCAAGCATAATTATGCAGAGATTATTTCTTATCCACTATTTGGTATGTGTATTAAAAATTAAAATTCATTGCATAATTTTTAAGAAAATTTGTTGTTTACAAAAATTCACTCCATATTTTTTAGCTTTAAGGGACTTATAATTTTATCTTTAACCATGCTAATACATGCATTAATAGCCTTGATATTGCTAATACCATAGTTTACTATGTATTAGTTAGCAGAGGCGGATCCAGGATTTAAACTCTATGGGTTCAACCTTTAAGGTTTTTACTACTTTGAGTCCTTAAATTTATGGGTTCATATCCATAAGTTATTGCGATTGTAGTAACTTTTTACATATAAATTTATACTCTGCGTTAAAAGTTATGCGTTCAATTGAACCCGATATTATAGGGCTACATACACTCCCGTGAGGCAGGGGTCATTTGGTAGGATGCATTAGAGAAAATAATGCATGCATTAACTTTGTGTACCTTGTTTGGTACGCTTTTTGAACATATGTATTACTAATGCAAGTATTAATTATACGACCTATTTGGTATTATCATATGTATAAGAGGTCATTTGGTAGAGTGCATAAAAATAATGCGTGAAGGTGTTGGTTTATGTTTAGTCAACAATGACATGCCAATTGGAAGAGTTGGTGGAAAGAGTTGGTGTGAATGCTAGGAGGAAACTTCCTCCTTTGATGTCACCCATGACATCAAGGGGAGGTAGTTTGATGTCACCAATGACATCAAGAGGATGTCTTTACCTCTATAAATAGATGTACTCCTTCATTTGTAGAAACCATCCCAAAAATAATACAACACATTGTAGAGAGTAGAGAGTTAAGAGAGAAATTCTCTTAAGTGTAATGGGGAACTCTCCCCTTCCTTTGTTAATAAAAAAAAGGCAATTGTTCTCTGGTGGACGTAGGATTATTTTGATCTGAACCACGTTAAATATTGTGTTCTTTCTTTCATGTTTCCGCTAACAATTAGTATCAGAGCAACATGATTCTTTAACGATCCAAGGAGGAAGAACAAGCAAAGATGAGTTCCATGNTTTGATCTCCCTGAGTACTCTGGATGAACAAGGCTACAGGTAGATGAGCGAAGCAGGAACTATAAAGGTGACTAAAGGTTCTTTAGTCATGCTGAAAGGCAAGCTGGAGAACGACCTTTACACATTG